ATATATATTTTTGTAATTAATAAAAAAAAAAAGAGGAAAAATAATATTTATTTCTGTATTCTTGATTGAAGGAAAATATACATCAAATACTGATTGGCATTTGAATAGTGTCAACAGTAGTTACGTAATATTATACATTTTTGTTTTTAATTACATGTTTTTTTATTGTTTGTTAATTCAATTAATATAAACTAGGAAAATTTTATATCTTGTTATTGATCTATACCATTGTCATGCATTTAGCATGCATTTCAATGACTTATGAAAATTGGCATGTGTATTTTCAAAAATGTTTTAAAATCAAAATAATTGGCTTATACTTAATTACAAGGATACAGTAAAAGTTTTAAATATGTCAACAACAAAATACGACAAATGTTTTAATAGATTTGATTGTTTGTTGTGTCGTGTTTTCTTGATTCTAATGCATCTAATCCTATTTCCAAGACGTTGAAACCTGAAAAATTTAGCTTGTGAATGTAATGCATGCTCTGTATCACCAAACACACAGTTACAAAGACTAGCTAAACAGTAATAAACACACTTTATTACAGTGAAATATCTGTATATGTGCTCTTTGGCATAGTGGAGAACTTAGCATTATAAGAGACTTGTCTGCTGGACATTGTTCACTTGGCTTGCTGTAGTTCAAAAGACCACCAAAACTGTTACAAAACCAAAACCAAAATTAATACCGAAATGGCAGAGGGACATGTACTGTGTCTATACTGACAGCATAATACATGTGAATTGTCGACACAATGCAGTCTCTGTACAGTGGCTCTTGACACTGCAGAGAGACTGCATTATGTCGACTTGTGCCCGATTCTTGTGTGCAAACCAATTTTTGAGATAGAAAAATCCTAAGAAAGGTGTGCAATAGAATCAAGAAAACACTGTACTTCTATTACTTTATTATATAAATTTTTTTAACAAAATTGATTATAACAATATATTGATGTCTATAGCTAATAGGAATTTAATTATACTTATAAATTAATATAAAAATGAATCTGTTTTAGTTAAAATTTGAAAACTTCACAAAAATTTATATAGGGTCCAGCAGGAAAATGGATGGTTATAGGTTTATTATATAGTAAACATTTGAGAAGAAATTTTTGTCATCAGATCAATAACATCAAATAGACACTAATTTTAAGTTGAAAATTGATTTTTTCACTTTAAAACTAATGTACATAATCTGAAATCTAGTCTTAACTCCTTTCGATAATCCAAATAGGATGCTTTTATGTGCAAATATATGCAAATAGGATGCATTGTGTGCAAATATATATGTTAGTCTCTTAGATTGTAACACGAACCAATGTTCAAATGTGCAATTTAAGCATTCCATTGCTATTGGATACCAAAACTTTGCTATTATTGAAAGTAATTAAGACTAAATTCGATATTGTTTTATTCTAAAATAGATTTCACTAATTCAATTGTTTAAATTTTTGTTACTTCCTGTTACTTTAATTATGTAACAAAGGAAAGAGAAAACTAAAAACAATTTAGTTTTCCTCATAGTATCTTTCTCAATACATCATTTTGAGAAGAACATAATTAAATTTGTCTGTTAATAATGATACGTCTTGACTACTGATATATATTTTATTTCTAAATTTCTACTTTACTAAAATATTTTTATTATTAACTTTTATTTGTTGAATGATTACTTTTTTAATATTACATTATTTGAAAATATACTGTCAGACTAATGTCTATGTTTTTATAGATTATTCCCGTTTGTTTATTTATGCCAAATTTGTTTCGATTTGCAAGACATTTCAGCACAATGGCAAGTAATGCATCCTCTTACGTACCAGGTACACATTCGATTGCTTATGTTACCGTGCCTAATGATGAAGTTGCCAAAAAACTTGCCGAGTAAGTTAACCTGTATATGCTTAAATATGACATTATATTAGAACTTAGAATAATAAAATATTCTATTTATGTAAATTAGACTTTTTTTTAAAAAAAGGTTGATTTAAATTTAAATAGAAAGGCTGAGTGAAGCAGTGGTCTAACCGTCTCCTGTGTTGAAATTGAGTTGGTGGTGCCATACTTTTGTGTGTTAAATATACTGTTTATAAATACAAGAAAAGATTACTATGGCTCTGTTTAAGTATTGACAGAAACAAGAAAGTTTAACAGCTAAATATGAAAAACTAGTGTACAATAGAATATCTCAACTTTAAAACAAAGTTAAACTACCGTTGCATTCAGCCTTTTGATTAAATAACAATGAAATTAATGAATTTTATTTAAATTTTTTAGTGGTTTAGTTTCAAAGAAACTTGCTGCTTGTGTGAATGTCATACCAAATATATATTCTGTGTAAGTTAATTTAGCCTTTATTTCGTTAGATGTATGCTTTCATTTACTATATTCATTATCAAACTAAGTTTTTAATATGCAGGATGAACTTATCTGTTACCGATGTTATGTATGCATATATATACAATATTATGTATAATTTTTATAAGATTTACTTTGAGTTAGTGTAAACTAATGTACAGTAGAATCCCGACTTATCCATGCCTTGATTAACTGAGGTACTGCATTATCTGAGGCAAACATGTAAATGAATACACTACTTGTCTTATACTGTAATTCATAAAAGAAAGATTAAAACAACATATATTAACAAAATAATTTTTATCTATTAATTTTTTATATTTAACTTCAATGTGAGACAATCCATTCACATAAAATATAACTATAGTAATATTATATATAACTATAGTAATAAAGAATATATATAGTAATATATATTCTTTTAATTCACTAAAGAATAAAAAGAGACTTAAAAGTGATATAACACATAAATCTTTTATATTTGTAATTTTTAATCCAAAATGACTGTGGGGCTTTCCATTTTATCCAAGATAGTATCAAAATAAACACTATGATCTACTTGAACATCTGACACAAGTTGGAGGAGGTTGCATAGTCTGAAACCATTCAATAAAGCTAATCCCGTAATTCTATTTAATTCCATAATTAGATCTGTACTTTGAACAATGAAATGTTTAAACTGAAAGTTTGTAGCTCGAAGGAAGAAGTTGGGATATGAAACAGATGGAAATTAGATATCCGCCAGTTTTATATTCTAATTAGCAAAAGATCTATGTTGAGAAAATTAATACTCTCCATGTTTAGCAGATCTGTGTGTAAGGATAGTCTAAAGAGATTATTGTTCATAAGCTGTAGGAAAGCATCTACATTTATGTTTCTAGGTGATCAGAACACTGTCTGTATAGTTAGCATCTATAATAGATTATGACGAGAGTGGTGGCTGGGAGCACTACAAGATTGTTTTCTTCTGACCAGTTTGTCAGAAGAAAACAAGTTTGTCTCACGGTCAAGCTCAGGCTCATTTTGCAAACTGATCATAAGGAAACATTATTGTTGAGTACTTCAGTAGTCCAATCTGTAGTCTGTCTCTTTCATTTGTTTAATCTAAATTAACATCTTTTCTATTATGAGCTAGCATTTCTTTTTCAACCTTTTATACCCAAAGCTAGTCCATAATTGGGTCAAAAATGTTTACATTTTAACATAAATAGTGTTAACTCTTTGATGACTATGCCCTTATTACAGTGGTCATTTAGCTTTGAGATGTTTATATATGATGTTAATATATAAAATTTTCTAGCTTAAAGAAATGGCATTAGTTGGGGCCATATCAGCAAGTTTGAGCACCTTTGGCTAAAACAGTTTGACACTTTAATCACATTGGATTGAACCTTAATTAAATACATATAATTAATTAAATAACTTTTATTAATTTAAAATTTATATTTATTAAAACTTATAATTATTAATTTTGATAAGAGATGGCACCTAATGTCTCCCTCTAATGTCAAATTCATTTGTAATTATTATTTCCAAATTATAGCCTGATCTGTCACTCACCATTCCAACACTTCCAGTAATCCAATGCTGTGCATGTAAAATTTTTGTGTTAGCAATGTATGTGACAAAGAGAGTTGTTTATTGCATATATAGTCAGCTAAACAGTCACAATCATGATTAATACGACAAACTAACCTGTGAACCAGGTGTATCTTTTACAGTACATACATACATTCAAAATCCAATAATCTGATGCTCACCAGTCTGATGTATGTCGAATTAAATGACTGTATTTATAATATAATAAAAGATGGTTTGTTTATATTTATAAAAATATCCATAATAGGAAAAGGCTTAAAAAATGTACGCCACATTATGTACGTAAAGGTGAATATAAGTTGAAATATTAACAAAGAGAAACCAGAAACAATATTAATATTGAATGCTGATGATAACTAGATTTTGTCATCCAAAATTTAAAAAAAATTTCAACCTACTCAGTTCTTAAAAGTTTTAGGATCAAATTATATATATATATATATATATTATTGTCTTTATATATAACCTTACTTACCTGAAATCACTAATCCAAACAACTATGCATCATGATTAATTTGGATTAGCAAGAGTTGTATAGTTTATTATTCTAGATATACAGTAGAATCCATCATATGCAGACTTGCTACAGGTGGTTTCAGGTTTATGCTATCAGCAATCCAAAAAAAAGGGAAATACATAAAATAGTTCTTATTTGTGTGCTAAATCTTTGCCACTTTTTTAAGGTACACAAAATAATGCTCATTCTCATTCTGGAAAAGTGTACTGTGTGAGTGACTCGTTTTTGTTTCCACTTAACATGGGATTTATGTTGGTGTTTGTCTGGAGTTCTGGCCTGTAAGACATCATGTCTGTGTGATATCAATGTTTCTCTTAGTTTCATTTATGTTAATTACTTTTTAAATATGTTTCTAAAATGCGAGGGAAATGATGTTGATAGCCATGATAAGCCAAAGAAAAGCCATAAAGTGCCTATATTAAAGGAAAAAATTAAAATTTTAAATTTAATTAGTGAGAAAAGAAAAAAAATGTCTGTTTTCAAAAGTTTTTAAAGTTGTTTTGATGTGTAAATCAACAAATAAGTAGCATGATACATGATTTATCATGCTATTTATTGTTAATATAGTTTGTTTTCCTTATTTATATTAAAAAAGTGTGTGATAGGTGTGTTATCATGTGTGATAGGAAATAATAATGGGGTTCACTATTTTACACAAATTTCTCCTTATGTATTGGTCTTGGAATGTATTGAACATGTATGGTTGGGCCCTCTGGACATGCAGAATATTTGAATAATTTGATTTTTGCTTAAAATAGTCTATTTTTTTTTTCTATTGAAATACCCATTGTGTGCATGTACATAATTATGTGCAAATAAGATATTAAATGTGGAAATGTACTGTACCTACAAATTAATATAGGTTGTTTTCTACATTTATAAAATAATTTTCATGCATATACAGTATATTTACATTCATACTTATTTATTTTTACCAAAATTGGTAGACACTCTGGTTAATTGGAGTTTGATAATTGATTCAAGCTTTATGCCATTAGATAAATAATATACTCGGAGAATTTATATAGTTAGACTTCGAAAAGAATTATTTTTCTGACTTAAGTTATAATGAGAGCAATTTAATTTGTAGGAAAAATTAAATATTTTGATAGTTTATCATTGAATTATACTTGTACATGATTAAAAAATTAATGAAAATGCATTTTGCAGGTACGAATGGAAGAATGAAATTCAGAAAGATCCCGAACTTTTATTGGTAAGTTATTGTTTCATGTTAGATATTAAAATTTCAGACAAATTAGTGTTTAATGGCAAAATTATTTTCTAAGCTAAGTATTATTTACTGGCAAAATGTACTTTTGTTTCATTTTGCTCTATTTTCAAACATATTTAATCGATTAAAACATAAAACTTTATTAAACTTCCAAGTTTAAAAGTATTGAAAAGTATGAAATAAAAGATATAAATTATTTCCTTGATTCTAAGAAGCACATTTTTACTTGTCCGAAATAGATGTATGGGTTAGAATTGACAATGTCTCGTGCAGCTGAAAACAACAATTGCCAGTCTTTGTGAATATTCTGAAATATATGCATCAATAATAGACATTTTTGGTTATACTTGGGCATCACAATTAGTTTGAACAAACTTTGCCATTAACAAAAGTTTAATTGAAATTCATTTTTAATGTTTAAAATATCTTTGAGAAGATGGCACAACTCTGAATTAATACAGTTATCATATTTAACGGGTGGCCAAACTGTGCCTCACAAGTTGCACATGGCTCTTCTAGATCCTTATTGCGGCACCTACATTCACAATTTCTTTTTACGAAGTCAACGTGTACTACTTACTCATATAGAATATTTTTGTAACTTTTCTGACTATTTCATAGTGTAATACACAGAAATTGTAAATTCACAATTTTAATCTCAAACAGGCAGCTAAAGTCAAAGAAATTAAAATAATTACTGGTTCTTTATGGTTAGGTAAACAAAATAAAGTAACAATGATAATTATATCTATATATATATATATATACACAGTAGTTAAAATACTATAAACAGATGATGCAGCTCTTATATTTCTGATGGGCAGCATACAATTCCCACTGTGACAAGGTTTGGCCACCGATATATACAGACAGACATTTACATTGTTTTTCTAACTTGTTACTTAACAGAACTTAAACAGAAATGATTATTAAAAGTATTTCCACCATAAAGCAATTTTAAATCCATATCTTTTAATAGCACATTTCCTCAATTCTAATTTATATATCCAACAATTAGATTTAAAATTTCTTTTAGAACATTAGTTACAGTTTGAATCATTAAAATTTTATAGATGATAAAGACAAGATCTTCCAGATTAGAAGAATTAACCACGTATGTCAGGTCAGTAGAGAAATTTCTGTTTTAATAATAATGTTTAAGTTTGAATGTATATAATATATATTACTAGTATAGTTAAGCTGTATTATTCTATGTTGGATGATTTGTTGAAACTGACAATTTATCCAAACAGTTGCTTAATATACACTGAATAGTGGTTACTTATTCTATTATTGAAACATTTGTTTTAAATGTTAGTAACACTACTGTATTATCTGAATTATTAAATTCTTGATAATTTTAAAGATTCATTTATCTCTTTCTTTCTTTCTTCAGTAAATTGTATGTGTGTTCATTTCTAATTAAATTTTATTGCAGAGAAAATCATCCTTATGAAGTGTGCGAGGTTATTTCTGTACCGGTAAGTCAAATTGTTATTTTTATTGTTACCACAATTGTAGAATTTTATGATGTAATGCTTTTATAGATTCAGCAAGGAAATCTGCCTTATTTGCAGTGGATAGGAGATATTGTTCCCGAGAAATCGAGTTAAGTTTAATTTCTTCTGAAATATTTGTAATTTGTATCAAATAAAATGTTTGATTACTAAATTTATCACAAGATATTAATGCCCCCACACACAGAATTTTTTTTCTTTTTTGGGAGGGTCAAATCTGAAACGATTCCAACACTTTCCCTTATGTGTACATAAAAGAATAAACATTGTTTATCTGGGATACCAAATGGCATATGTTGGTAATATTCTAAACTAATTTTTTCCACTGTAATGAAAACTATTGCAAACCAATGATCACAATGATTTTATTATTACAATTAATTTTTTTTTTACCGTAGTTTACACAACCAATGAATCTTCTTTCTCTTCATCTATACACAAATACATTCCCCCATCATTACAGTTTCAAATAAACCTCTCTGCTTGGTATTAAATTTAGATTGATATATTTATACAAATAATGGCAGTTATTTACAGACATGTCGAACAAATCTCTTGTGGTCTGGAACGATGTTTCAAGTTCGAACCTGGAAGCGGCCAGCCTTTGTGACATACTTGACTCCCTTGAACGGTTTGTATTTCTAAAAACAAAGGGTTTTGGTTAAAAATGCCAAATGCACATAAGATTCAAAGCAAGTCAGGTGAGACGCTTACCTCTCCATACATATCCAGGCGATTCACCTTTAATCCCGACACTGCCAACTGGTTGATCATAAACTGCAACTGTTCAAGAAAAATTATACTTAGTTGTCTGTTACGAATGTCACGCTTAAAACAGAAGGATTTCTTACCGATATGGCAGGATTGGATTCTGGTGCAGTCAGACCGCTCTGCAAATTAATCTACAGAGATAAAAAGATTTGTTTATATTTTAAAAACAATTCTACATAACTTTTTGATTATAATTGCATTTGTTCACATGAAGCTTTATTTTTAATAATTTGCTAATGTTTATGACTAGCTAAGAATATTTTTGGTTCCCCTAATTTTTAAAATTGACAGATGAATCTTAGGCAACTTCCAATATTTCCTATAACAAGAGCAGTTTACTTTCTGGTCCAGAATTCAGTAGTTATGATGGAACTGCATGAAAAAAAAAAAATTGTGACTGTTTCTTCCCTACATACTGACACACGTGCAGATTAGAAGTCTCAGAGCATTGCACAACAAACCTTCTGTCTCCCAATGCTTCCTTCAAAGGCTAAGCAGATGACAATTGTGTGAAGACTGACATTGCCCAATCTATAGTCTATTTGGAATTTTCTTTTGATTGTGGCTAGGACCATAGTCCAACACAATCGAAAGACTTTGTAACTTTTTATGGAGTTTAATTTGGAGACTCATTTTGGCAATGATTCTTGCCTCATTAAAGATAAAGGAATGTGAATTTTTAATCGACATTTCTTTTTCTTTAATTTTTTTTCACAACGGCAACAGATATCAATAAAAAAACGATATAAAACATTGGTACTTGTAAGAATAGTCTTTTATATTTTAATTTCTAAAAGTATAACAGAGCCTCCTATTGTAGAAGTGCCGAAGTGCCTGACAGTCTACAAACAAAATGTCATTTGTCTTTTCTACCATGTCTACACCTATCCCAAGGTTCATCTTTCTCCTATAGAGTTAAGTACATTTAATGCCAATTAGGTCTGCATCATTTGGGCACTTTTTCTACCAACATCTATTCTACACAAAGTTGTCGTGAAGTACAGTTTCCTAAACTGATTTCTAACTTTGACCATGAGAAACACAACGGATACCTGCAGGATTTAGTATATTACAGGAAAGTAAAACAGGGCAGAGTGAGAATTTGAATCTTGAAACACAAAATCTAACATTTTGTAATCAAGTCCACAAATGTAAAGTTTAATATAACAACCAAAACTCAGGAAAACTGATGTGTAAAGTGTGTCGACTTTTCTTTTCAGTTTTGGAAAAGAGAGGTCGAATTTAGAGTTTTTCCGCTGTCTTTGTTACGTTATTCTATGTATAAACTATCATGTCCCATGAGGTATCTGACAAACAAATGACTTGGTTAGAACCTTACCTGCCAGGCCGTCTCCATAGATATTTTCTTTGAGCCAAGATACTTGTAGTTTTTATACTTTGTGCAAATCAGCAATGGCAAACTCTTACCAGATTAGGGTATCATATGATAAATTTCTGAATATATTTAATTATGAAAACTATAAATGTAAGAAACCAATGAACATGCATGTGCAACCTGTGAGACTTTTGCAATTAAAATAACAGAAGCAAAATTATAGGGAAATAAATTAGAAGCATGGAAGACTTTAAAACACTTCACTTTTCTTCCGATGTACACCAGCACGACTGAATTCCAAAAGTGTTATTCAAAACAAACCCAAGTTTTATCGTATGAAAAAACAGTATCTGTAAGAGTAATGGTAAGAACTTTTAAGCAACAAATGTGTGAAAAAACTTATAACTTTGTCATGTCCTTGGTAAATGTAATATACCATACATAGTATAGAGCTTCATAAAAGACCCAAATGTGAAAAGCTACTTCTCTTTGCTAATGGGTATGTTTTGATATTTTTGTGATTGCTAATTCTAAAAATGAAAATTTTATCCTTCTTTCCAATACCTAGATGTGACAAAAAGAGAGCAAAACGAGAAACAAGTTTTACAACCCGGTAACATGCCTCAATCTTGCACATGATGCAAACAAGGAAAGCTGAATTTTTACCATCAATGGATTTGATTGACTTAATGAATTAAAAAGCAGCCTATGGTTCCTTAATTGAAAAAGAGTAAACTGGTATTAATCCTGCCAGAGTCATCTGTCTGGGTGTCAAAACCGAAGTTAACTATTAACAGTGTTGTGTCTGTTGTACACACACACTTAAATTGACTTGGAAAAAAAAAAGTGCATCTCCAAATTCAGTAAACAAAATATGGCCTACAGTGGGTGTGTGTGATCTATAAAAAATTTTTTTGAAAGTGTCACTTGAACATGTAAGGTGGTGGCTTTGCATATTTTCAACGATTATGTTAGTAGTTGAGAAGATGCTACTTACAGTGCCTCGGATGCCAGGCATTCTTCCCATTTCAATCCTTCCAATTTCCCACACCATGATTTTGCTGACAGGATCAAAACTGTATTTGCCCTGAGTGGGAGTTAACGTAACATTCAAGACGCTTTTCGGCATAGGTATTTCTAAAACGACACTTTCCACCTAGAAAGATTCAAGAGTTTTGTGATCATTTATTAAATCGAAAACTTACATTTTTACAAGAAAAGAGCTTACCGTTTTTCCCATCGTCTGTTTTGCTCCCACACTGATCTCTAATTTTCCTCCTGCCACGTCTTTAAAACAAATGTGGTGTCTTACGTAAAGTGGAATGGCTACCATACTATAACAGATAACAATTATTAATTTGATAAAATCGTCATTATCAATGTTGAAGAAATGACCTTACTTATTGGATCCTACATGATACGACATGAGTCTAAAATTCCCATCAGGAGGTACAAACGAGAGTATTCTTTCGGACTGGAATACAAAATTGGTATAATATTGGCATCTTTTTTAATATTTATATTAATCCAGAACTACACATTATGTTTTGTTTTCTCAAACACAAGATAAGTCATATTAAAATATAACTCAATATTTACCTCCCACCTTCGGAAGCGAACGCACGGATGGAAGCTGACATCGTCGAATAGACGAGGATTAAGAAAGGAAAGACTCAAATCAGGCATACCACTTAATTTAATACAGCAATCGATCTGCAAGAACAAATATGCAATTAGAACATTAAATAGTAACATAATACTATGCTTAACAATAGGAAGAACAATTAAATTTTGTGTATTCATTTACTCTAAAGCAGTGTTTTTCAACCTTTATCTTGTGGCAAACTTGAACCTATAATTAAATTTCCACGGAAAATATCACATGATTTAAAGTTGCATTTGTAAACATTCTATCGCCATATTACTATTACTCACCACTTAAATAATAATGACAAAAAGAATTAGATTGTGAGTTAAATAAAAGAAATCTTAAACATCCGTTGAGATTATTCGGGGGCAATATTAGTCAAACAGCCCACAATTCTTACAGATAATGATGCCAGCAATTTAATTTTGTTATTATTTAAATTGTAATATTTTTGCAAATCACAAAATTTATAGATTTACTGGCATTAAAAGAGATACAGTAGTTTCTTATCTCACTCCCCTTCTTTATCAATATAGAGTTACTGTGCTTTTAGTAATACACATAAGAACAGCTGTTGAGAGATATAAGGCCCAAAGATGGAGTGGGTCTCTTTAGCATTTTGTTTTTTGAATAAATGAAGTACATAAGACTGCTTTTTATTAATAAACATTTTAACATTTTATTTTCTGTTAGGAAAATTAATGATTCCTGCTCCTATGAAATTAATGGTATGTGCCCCTAAATTTTCTCCAAGCCTGAGGAAACATTCCCAGCTACTGTCTAAATGGCCCTGTGTAGGAAATGTTATGTGCTGTTCAACTATATTTTGTGGCATTGTGCTCAACTCTGGCTAAATAAATAAAAATTACTGAATGCTGGTAGTTAGTTGTAGGTTTGTGTCTTATCATGAGCCAACCATATGGAGTTTTCTTCCTGTCTAACACCTAAGTAGGGGTGTTTTTCTTAGAAGGTTCTCTAGGGCAGCATCTGGCAGATTGCCCTAGTGTTGCATTGCCCCTTCTTCCATCAATCCATTTTGTGGCACCCCAGTTCAAAACCAATCTTTAAAAAATATACATTTATGAAAACTTGTGCCATAAACTTCTAATTTTACTTTAAATTGATATATTTTGTTTTCAGATATCACAGAAATATTATAAATTTCTTTGACGATTATACATAATTATATTTGTTAAAATATTAAAAATTTTATATTTGTATCTACAATTTGGGACAGTGTTAGTAACAGGTGCTACCAAATTATGGAGAATCTGGGTCAGATTTAAATCTAGATCCCCGCAACAATAAGCCGACACCATTCATTGGGGTTAACATTTTAAATCAATCTATAAAACTATTATTTTGTTATTTACACTCGTCTTTGTTTTATGGACCATCGGAGCTTGAAAAAAAAAACAGCCAATGTATAAAATTAAAATTTCTGAATGTAATCTCTAACTGTATTAATCAAAGTAAGTCTATATAATTGCTGTCATTATATGGATTTCAGAATTTATTACAAACATTTAAATATTCATTTAAAAACAAAATAAATATACTTACATAACCTTGAATTTCTGCTGATACTATGGATCCACTTTTATCTATTATGGCATCAACTTCTTCAATGACATCAAAGTAAGCCTCATTGTTAGTATATTTCACACCGGTTCTTCTCCATGGAATGTTTGATAACTGGCCAGTTGGAAGTGTGGTGCTTATGCTAGAAATTTTAGCATAAAAGTCAACTATTACTTCTCAAATTTACAAGTTCAGAAAAAGAAATTTTTCTTTGTGAATATAATTTATAATTTTTAAGAACAGAAATCTTACCAAGCCAAATAGGTAATTCAAATACAACAGAATAAATAAATTCTACATTAATGCAATGGTCAAAATTTTAATCAAATGTCTGCTCTTTATACATGGAAATGTAGACAAAAATATTGCATGCATGTGCGCCAGGCTATATCTTGCTTCTTCTACATATTTAGATAAATACAAGTACACAAGAGTCCAGATAATTAGTAGTAGGCTATTCAATGGCTAATTGCCATGCACCTCAAACCTCTTTTTGGACCAAGTCCTACCTTGGCTCCCATAAAAGATAGCAGCATAATTTAAATTACAAAGTCATATAGCATTTTAAAATTAGTACCAAACAATTTTTGTCCAATTAAAAATACTAATGGGAGAAGCAGCCACACAGTTTAAATAAACTGGGTGGGAGAAAACTGTGCAAGGCTTCTCTTCATGGCCTTGAGTCTGCAATGTTTTTGTTTACTAATTCTTTTATTTTACTTTGACAAATAAAAAGGAAATTATATATATGCTCAATAATTTATATAAAAATGTTTTTGTTGTTATATTTGCTTCAATGTGATTAGTGTAACCGAAATTGAATTAAATATAAAACTAAAAGAACCCTAAAAATCAGGCTAAACTGGTTATACTAAAAGAACATTCATGTGCTATTAAATTTAATTATACTAATTCTGCCATAGCCATACGTTGCAATAGTGAAGGTTGCGAGATCTCACTTAATAATCTAAAAATACTTAGAATAGAAAAAAAATAGTGTAAAAAGGAAATTATATGAACAACTTGAAATCACGAAAATAAAAACTTACAAAATGAACTTAAATGACGGTCTAACCATTAGTGACATATGGAAACTCCTCCTCCCTAATAGGTAGTTTCCACATGCAATTCCATCCTGCCCCACCTCCCCCATCTGGTGAATCTGCCCTCCCATATAGATATAACTTCATTCTACAAATGCAACTGCATCCTGAAAGATGATCCGATCCGAACTCTGCAGCAACCCTATTACCAAGTCTGCAGCAACCCTACTACCCAACATACTCTCTAATGTCAATTGTAACCAACAATCAACCATGTAAGTTATTTTTTAAAAAATTTTGTTAAAATGTTATATGTATTACTCTGTATAATGTAACCCATATCTATCTATCTATCTTTTTTTGTAAAGTCTAAGGACTGAAGAGGGGATTAGGACCCAAAATGCATTTCCTTTAATAAAAAATACATAATTCAACTGTTCCTTGTATGATGTGTTACTGAAGAAAGAAAGCCACTGGCTTTTAATTCTTTAAAGTCTACAAAAAAACCAGTAATGGAAACCTAATTTAAAAAAAATTATTAAATTAATGTGTTGTCTATGAAAATCTAGCTTTTAACCATTCCATTGATAAAAAATTTTTTAATACATTTTTATTTCAATAATATATCAAAATGCCAAATTTTGTGGTAATTTGGTTGTATTTTGATAAAATTTCATCTTAAAAATATCTTAATATAAAGAAATTGCTTTTTGCCCTTGGTTTAATTAAATTAACTAAAAACCTACTAATGTGAGGTGGGAATAAGGACATATCACACCAGTGATAATATGCACAAACACATTGATACCTGGGTGTTTGTGCTTATTATCACTGGTGTGATATGTCCTTATTCCCACCTCACATTAGTAGGTTTTTAGTTAATTTAAAAATATCTATTAAGTAATAATAACGTTTAAGTCTGTTATTAATTGTAATAAAGTATAGATAAAATTATGGCAGTTTTTCCAAATGTAATCTTACTTGGAACGTCCAGTGACTGTGTTTGCAATGGTTCGAAGTATATTCGGTGGCTTAATCAATTCCTTCAGAATGTTTGATTCGGTGGCCAAAGGAAATCCATTGTCTAACATTTCATCCAAGAGCTAAAAGAATTAATTAAACATGGTTTTAAATTGAAGCAAAATAAATTTATTAATAAGAGTAATGGCCAATTACTTCATAAACAACAACAAAATGTTCTTTGATCAAAAACTCAGTGTGCTGGTCACCAAAATAATCTTCGAATGTGTCCACAACGCGATGCAGAAATTCTATAACGAATAATGGAGGCACTGAAAATAAAAACCAGAGAATTAGATTAATTTAAATTTATATTATTACATTTCTGTAAATGTCTGTCTCTTTAATTTGAATAAAAATAATTTCAATAGACTATCACACAGCCATCAGGTTAGATACTTCTTTTATTATATATTTATTATATATGTATTGCAAATGAATGCAAAGAAATATATTGTTAAAGTATGTATTTTTTCATAATTTGTTAAACAATTCTCATTCTCATTTTAAATTACCTATAAAACAATTACTATAATTACAGTTATCCTAAAATAAAAGTTTTTAATAAAAAAAGCACCTTGGAGAAGTTTTAAATAATGTACTTATGGAAATTCTATTATCTGTTATAAAAATATCAAAGTAGGTATGTATTCTACGTATTATATTTTATAAAATAATACTTTTTATTGTTATTAAATAATGGGTGTAATATCATTATAATTACGGTCACTTTGTTATTGTTTTTTTAAAAGGTGTACCTTTGTGAATTTTATTGTTGTATTTAAGAAAATCTTCTTAACCTTTCAGCAGTGGGATAGTCAGGTATGGTGCTATCCCAAATAGTAGTGGAGAATAAACGTGGGAAATTTTTGAAGTATTTTTCCACACGTTTTTTCTCATTACCATTTCAGAGAAAGATTTTGTAAACAGTTATGTCTAGTAAAGAAAACGGTAGTTTTTGGCGATACCCCAAAAAAAATTAACGGATATATCCATCCCTCACCACTGCCATACGATTACCCTGGACGGATGTATCCGTCCCTCATTGTTGAGTGGTTAATATTATCCATTATATGGCCATGGTTTGTGAAAACAGAACCAGAAGTATCATATGAATGTAACGGAAAATTTAAAAGGCAGTGAGCCCTCTTGTTAGATATGAAAAAATTTTTTGTGTCATTAAATATAATCTACAGGCATTAAAATTCTTAAATTGATAATTGTAGTTTAATGGTTTTTTGTAGAATTGCACTGAAGGGCTTAGAAATTAAATAAGCCTGAAATGCATATGGAAATATAATAAAAGTAGTACCTAACATGAAGGCTATGTGATAGTCTACCAAAATTATTTTTATTCGACTTAAAGAGACAGACATTTACGGAAATATATAAAACAGCTACCATATTTGTTATTATAATATTACAGTAAAAGCTTATAAAATCTTTAATACAGTGCATTCTCACATGTACATGTTCACATCCAAAACAATAAAGATCAGATTAACAGCTAAGGTAATGCAACACATGGTAAATCTGACAGGTGATGAAAACCTGGAAAAAATCTATGTGACCAGTTCTACTGACAAGACTTGAATTAACCAGTAGTTTTATCCACACAGCCACTGATGGCCAGTACAAAAGTAATTTGGGGTTGTACATAAAGAACAAGTCATAAGAGCCTACAGACAAATTCAAATGTGTTTTTAAAAGATTAATCCCAGACTTATTTTTGTTTTGACTGGAATTTTTAGCAGAAAAATGAACAAACTTGGTTCAGATAAGAGACGGTGCACTGTATCCCTAAAATTTTCTTGTCTAGTAATAAAATTTCATTTCAATTTGCACATTTGGATTTTTAATGTAAAGTTCTAAACTAAATGTAAAAATAAGACCGATACCTTCAGACGTGGTTACAGCAACAAAAAATATCTTTCTGCGATATATGCTGATTAAGTAGTGATGAGCGGTCGCAATAACTGGTGGGATATCATCAGGAGTTGCCGCTTTCCTCTGCGCATCAAAAAAATAATCGCATACGGACCGATGAATGACACTTTTCCAGTGCTTTTCCATAAAAATATCCCTGTAAATATAATTCAGAACAGTTAAATATTAATTTATCTTAACAAAAATAATATAATGCAGTACATAAAAAACAAACAATATAAAAATTTAATAAATAACCTCTGAAACATAATACTTCTTACTATACTGAAACTTGCAATCATTTTCTAACTAAACTACAAGTTTAAAAAATTATAATTGTTTTGGTTATAGCAAATCTGAAATCTTAGAATAAATAACAAACATATTTTAATATGAAGGGATTCTTATTTAATTTCTTTTCTGTCAATAAAATATAAATATTAAGTAGATTTTTCAGACAAAAAACTTATTACTGTCATTCTTAATTAATGGAGAAAACATTTGTCATCAGGCAACTAGTTCATGGAAAACGACTAGTACAGATACAGCACTGAATTTCTGGCATCTTTAGCTGTAAAGCCTTGCCAGACTAGCCGTGGTCACATATAATAATATTGCATCAACACACCTCTAACCCCACTAATTATACATCTTCCATGTGCCTAATGTATACGACAGACACACTCAATTCTCCTAGAAGCAATAGCCAGTGTTAATTTAAGCAGAATAAACTAGGAATATCACAAAATTGTAGTATCATCTCCAACAAGACCAATGTAAATATTGTAAATAAGCATGCCCTATATCACTTGCAATATAGTATATAGTTGCAACTAATGCTGCTTTACTCTGATTGGCTTGCAACTTATTGGTTGAAAAAGGCAGGCATCAGAAATTATTGACAAATTATTTCTTTCAAGATAAGTCAAAGATGTTTTATTTACACTGAATACAGGTATGTACAGTACTGTACTTGCACAGTATTAATACAATACCTCCAATGAAACCTATTACTGTTTACTACATAGGAACCTCTATATCTCAAAACCTGCCTATCTCAAATTTTCTCATTCCTGTGAGATTCAAGATACAGGTTCAACTGTATTTACACTGAAATAAGATCAAATGGCAACAAATAGTTGAATTAAAACTATATTTTCAAATACTTTCATTTAAGAATCTGAAGAAGTATTAATTTAATAATCTTGTTATTTTAATGGAATTTAAAAGCATATGTTTGAATATACAGTATACTACTGCCATTAATCAAAACTGGGTACTCTTTGGTTAACAGGACACCAGTCAATCGATGGAACCCAATTCACGTTTATATCTTAGTATTTGCTTCAAGTTAATTAAATCAAATATAAAGTTAATCAGAATGCAAACCTATCCTTTTCTTTATGTATGTATAAAAGTTTTAAAAGTTGATTATGAATTTAAACAATGATCGTTAATACATGTTTGATATTAAAAACATTTAGGATATTTTCATGTTGGTATAATTAAAAAAGTTATAATATACAACTATAAGTTGAAATTTATGTATAACTTGTTATTTTATGTTATTTGGTGATAAATTCAAAATTAGGATAATATTAAAAGTTAAAATAACAATTTTATTTATTTATTTTCAACCTACTTTGCATAGTACTGCGTCTCATAATTGCATCATTTGACATCATGTGGTTATGTAAATAAATTTTCTTGGTAGAAGTGACGTACATCAGAGTTAGATACTATAATGTTTTTTCAAAGTTTGCTGTAATTATTCCTTTTGGCCTGTTTATCTTTATTCAATTTAAACTGGATTTTAGAAAATGAGAATTATCAAATAATGAAGAAATTGCAATTCATTTTTCCTAGAAACTGGAATCTTACATGGTGAGTTAAGAAATAATCCCAGTACGATTGTTGATCAGAATGATTATATGCTTTATGTTTTTACCAATTTTTTAATATCTTTAATCGTTGTGAAATTAGGTGGTGCAATCAGAGTCGTTGAGGTGTATGAAAGTCAATTTAAACATTAGAAAACAAAATGTCAAACACTTCCTCAGCAGTGGGTATTTGGTGGCATTTGCTGTGAATTAAAAGAGTGCTTTTTAGTCACTGTGCAATACAATTTAGTTAAAACAGTGATTAATGCTATATGAAATAAAGTGAAAGAAGGTAGTATAATATTTTCAGACTGTTGGAAAGAGTACAAAACTGTCCAGTTAGAAGAAGATGGATATGAATGTTTGCAAGTAAATCATAGGTATAAACTTTGTAGACCCTGAAACTTTCATTGTAATTTTAAACACTTATCAATTATGAAATAAAATATCAATTTTGTTAAAAATAGTAGTAAAAATGACTGGTGTCCTGTTAACCAAAGAGTACCAAAACCTGTTTAGTAAATCTCTAATTACTTATGAAATTTAATTTAAAACTAAACAGATCATAATTTGCAATTGCATGTTTAGTTGATTTAAATTGAATTTCATAGATAATTATAGATTTATTAATCAAATTTTATGACAGTAATTCATAATGTACTATGCTTAAAAGATCAAACAAAATTATTTTTCTAAGCATCTGTCATTGTTGGAGTGTCTTTTAATCAATATTAATAAAATTTAGTTAATAATTACGTTAAAAGTATACAAACTCTGTATTAAATTTGTAATATGCATTAAAACTATTAATCAGGGTTAATAGCAATCAAATGTTGTACTATTTTATATTAGTTTAACACAGATATGCAAATTTTTAGTAGTGAAAGGGTTGCAAGGAAGACTATGACATTACATTTAGAATAAATTGTGAAATTTTTCAAAATGGGAGAAGACTTAAATGTAAATATTCAAAATATTATAGCAGAATTTAAATGTGATAATGTCTGGCCTACAGAAGAGATTTATAGGCCTATTATTTTGGACATTGAAAAGCTAAAATGCTTTTCAATGCATTTAGTGATATTTTAAGTAATTATGTAAGTAGAGATGATGAAGAGGTTTGTCAGATGGAAGATAATTTGTCTGCTTCAAGAAAAAAAAAGTTGATAATGCGAACACTGAGTGAGAATCAGGATGTTCAAATGATGATAAAAAAAAAGCTGATAAGAATATAATCTCAACAAAACAAAAACAAGAAATTCTTAACTTACATAAGAAAAATCCAAAATGGAAATTACGCACATTACAGCAGAAAGGAGCAAAAGAATTAAAACATTTTAGTGATTTATGTAAATGGAAAAAACAATTTAAATCTCAAAAACATACAATTGAAACATTAAAAATCACTAAAGAACATGATAAAGAAATGTTTGGCAAAACTTGAGATAGCTATAAAATTGTTAAAGATAATTAATTAAAAATATGGGCATTACAGAAATTTCTTGAGCTGAATAGTTCAATTAAGTTTGCAGCTAATGATTATTAGGTTAAAAATTTAAAAAAGAATACAAATTAGTATCTCAAAAAATTACAAAACTTGTAAATAAAACAGAAATAGTAAATGAAAAGGATATTTTAATAAAAATGTGGTTTTTCATACAAAATGATTTTGTCACAAACACTTTCATATAAAAGGAGAAAAAAAAATACTATTGGATTTACACATTCTTCAAGTAATAAAGTTATGCATTCCTACACTGTTCAATATTTAACTAATGCTAACAGACAAGTTGTAGGTAATGTATTTATTTGCTTAAAAGAGGTTCATGGAACCTTTGGACCTAGAGTTGAAAGATCACAGTTTAATGATCCAAACGTTACTGTTACAGCTAGCTTATCTGACAAATTATCTACAGCAATTATTATAAACTATGTAAAAGATGTATTATCTCCAAATATAACAGAAAACTCATTATTAATAATTGAGTGATGGAGTGGACAAACAAATATTAATATTTATAATAAAGTATTTTCAAACATCTAAAAATCAAAATTCATGTGAAGTACTAATTATTCCACCAAAATCTATCTCTATATGCCAACCTTTAGATGCTGGATTTCATAAACAAGTAAAACTTTTAGCTAAAGAAATTTTAAATGCTATACAATTATTTTGTAATAATTCTTCAATGAAATTGTTTTGGGCAACTAGAAATGGTATAATATAATTATATTCGATTCTTCATCAATTATCTGTACCAATATTTAATAATTTTATTAAATATGTATGGTTTGCTTCTGGACTCATACATGAAAAATGTGGATTTTTTAATATAAAATTAAGTTTGTTTTTCTTTTTTACACACTAACAGATTAAAATGGGTTGAGAATAATTGCCAAAATCTTCGATATGTTAAATGTGGACATTATTTATTTTGTTTTGTTGAAAATATCATGTAAATAGTTGCCTAATAATTTGTGAATGTAATTACTTTTCAATTAAATACATCTAATAAAAATGTATTAACTTATTACGTTTCAATTATTTTCTTTACATTTATTCTATCGTTACTTTTATATTATATTTTATTGTTAAAGTAGTATATACTGTATAGCTAATCTTTCATATAACATTTATTTGAGTTTATTCCTTATTCTACTCTGTAAAAGTAATATCATCATCCTCCACCACCCTTTCACTACTAAAAATTTGCACATCTGTGTTAAACTAATATAAAATAGTATGACATTTGATTGCTATTAACCCTGATTAATAGTTTTAGTGAATATTACAAATTTGTATACAGAGTTTGTATACAGTCGACCCCCCTATAAGATATAGATACGTTCCAATTTATTAGGAATCCGATTTCTTACAAGTCGTTCCAATCACAGCCCGACACGTGTCAAGTTTACGGACTACGGCTGATTGAAAGGTTTTCTTCCATAAAATTAATCGATTCTACACTAATCCGACTCAACATTTCCAAAATACGTATATTTTTTCGTAGTTTTATAGGAACCGTAATTATAGGGGGGTCGACTGTACTTTTAAAGTAATTATTAACTAAATTTTATTAATATTTATCTAAAGACACTCTAACAGTTCCCTTGTAAGTGGTATTCAAATCAAATGATTTATAATGGAAAGTACTTATACAAGCGAACTAGAGTAAAGCAAAATATCATAGATGCAATTAATTAATTGTCACAACTTCATATGATAAAGTAAGAAAAAAGGGACAAGAAAAAATCATGCAATCTAGGTCTCGGGACACTTAAAAATTATATTTTATCGAGGGCACACCGCAAATTTGTCAGCCTAGAAAGACTGCATCGCATTTTAAGCAAGAAGCATCAGAGGATCAATTGGTTGTGGAATGCCTTCAGAACAGGGATTGCATCGAACCGCTCCTCCGCAAAGCCAAGCTCTCCGTATAGCATAAGCATCTTATATAAATTAAACGTTTGTCACTTAGCAGTTTCAAGTGGCATTGTGGCGAGTTTTGGCACTAATTTTTTTTACAGAAATGTCGTCATATCAAATTTAATGCATTTATCCTATTAAAACCTTTCTTTGGACAGCATAATAAGATAAAAACTGGTATTTACAGTATAAATAACCCATTAAGAACTTGTGTACATGTAGTGGTTGTTGATTAAAATATAAAAGTGTATTTTTTTAATAAAAATTAAACTGTTTTTATTGTATTATTACTTTTCTAAACAAAATTAATTTGTATTTTTTTAACTTTGAAATGAACATTTTCTAATTAAATTTGTGGCATTCAAGTATATGGTTAGGCCTAACAGGTCACAGCTGATATACATCAATGTATAAGCTTTTAATTTATAATATTTAGTAAACACGTGTATTTATGGCTTCTTCTGTGTATGAAAAACACGAAAAGATATTAATTTAAATCGTAAAATTTACCCAGATTTGTTGATGAGGAACAAACTGTGGATCATCTTGCCACTATCGTCATGCGCACGACGCCACCTGACAATTATTTAAATTTCCACGGTTTAAATTTTCTTAAAAACTTTTAATATACAAATTATAATTGTAATTAAAATTTAATTTAATATAAAATTAAATAATGTAATAAATAATATTTTAATTGAAAACACTTGACGTTTTTTCGATGGTACAGCGCCCTCTGATGTAAATCTTTCTTCTCGATTTTAAATTTAAATCTGTTCTTTGTGTTTGATCCGAATGCTGCTAAACGGCGAAAAATATAAATATTACGAGAAGATTATTTATTTATTTTAAATTAGTTTTATTATAAACGATGATGCTATTTTTTTTTTAACTTTCTGCACTGTGATATTCAGAAGGCCTTTCTTTAATCATTGCCGATCGTGGTTTCTGCCATGCTCACAATGGAGCGGCCGAGTGGCGATGTATCACTTATCACTTGGCTGTTCCATTGTGGGTGAATCTTAATTTACAGAGGTATTTCAATTCAAAACTACCAGACATAACTAGATCATTAAGGAACTTACTGTATTTACAGAAAGGGATCCTAACATTCCATTCATTCCATACTCGAATGGTTGAAACGGAATGCATCAGCCTATTTGAGTATAAATCTTCCTACGTTATGGAGCACTTGTGATCCATAATGTAGGCCTGGCCGAACCAATAATGGGAGAAACAAATATCCTCCTGGTTTCCACTGGGCGGAAGGAGTTAGAAAAAAAAACAAGCCTAGATTAAGAAACAGAACGATCAACTTAATTCTCCACGTGTTCATATTTGATTAAAATGCAGTTTCACTTATAGAGTTGTTTATATGAATAATAATTTATGTATTGAGTTAATATTATTCAGGAGATGAAATAGGTCATTTTAAATTAATATTATAATTTTAATCTTAGAATACGCAATAAATGACACCAAGCATTGCTTATAAAGGCAACTGTAATCTTCCCCCAATAAGAATAAAGCCGATGAACTGAATTTTGAATACTGTATGTATCACTATGCCGCCATAGCAAGAAACAAACTCTTCGGAAAACTCCGAAATTCAGAGTTCTTGCAATAATGTTGAACAGTTTATACAGATTATAACAATTTAAACACATATTAGAATTTTCTAATTTATATTGTACTTCGTCATGAACCTGGAACTACTGTATTTTACTTCGCGTACGGTAATGTAACTTGCGGATGTTCTACCGAGGGGTATCTCTCGAGAGGAATTTCTACTCTCCTATTTAGGTGTTAAAAACGTGAAGAAATCCTGGGAAAATTCTCGTGGACCACCAGTGGCTAAGAAGTTCTGTTCATTGGGAGTTCGAATCCGAGCAGGCAATCTGGATATTTTTAAGAGTGGTCTGTCCGGATACGTCAGGTCCCTTGTGGCACTGGCCAAACTCACAATGGACCCGAAAAGGGTTGCCAGATACTTGGGGATAAAACATGAGAAAAAAGAGTTCTTTCCGAAAGTTACTGGGACACTTCAATTTTAGAACATACAATAAATGTGTACAGTATTTTCAGTCTGCTAGTGACAGGAATACGTTTAAAACGTGGTAAAAAAAGAGATACTTCATTGTAGGAAGCTTTTAGAATAAAATCCTCCTGTCGCTAGATGTGAATCGGAAAATAATCCGGGACAAAAGCGGGATATCAGGCAACCTTGCTCTTAGTATCCACGATGTGGAAAGAGACAAAAATAAAATGGTTTATATCTAAGAGCATACAACTCTAGTTATGTTACTGCTGTAACTGATGCATTAACAGGTTACAGGAAAATAAAGCGAATGTAAATATAAAAACTTGTTTATTTATTAATTCCTGGCAACGTCTATGATTAACACGATTTCAAGAAATTACAAATATGGCATACATTTTTTTTCGGTCATATTTGTGTAATTTTCCGAAAAATAATTGTAAAAGTCCCATAACATACAGCATTCAAAAATCTATCACTCATTTTTGTACGAAGTTACCGAAAATCTTGTTTGAAAATTGAATGAGCACCATTTATAATGTTTCTGGATTCTACTCTTACATTAGTTTAAAAATAAATCTCGATAACAATTATTAAACATTATAATTAAAATGCATCCAATGAAATCCTTGGGCAGTTATATAAATTACAGGAATCAAAGAGGAAAAATTTCATGTCATAAAAAATAATTAAATGTTGCCATAAAATTCGACACGTATAATTTATAAACTAATTATAAACTTTAACCTTGTTTGGTTTGATGGGATACTGCAACGCGACACTTGGGACATCTGCCAAATTTGATGTTCCTGGAAACCCTTTCTAATGGAAACTGGCCGTTAATTCAGACACGTGAAAAAAACACAGCAAATTCCACTAGGTATCCCATTGGTCAGGCGCTTGCTCCCGAAAGTATTTCTATGGAAAACTGGTTCCTATTTAGATGTCGGAAACTTGAAGAAAACCCATAAGACTCCACTTGGCCAGTGAATCCGCGGCAAGTATTCACTGGTTTTATCTACCTGGTCACTGGTGGATTCTTCCAACTAATAGTTTTCTTCAAAACTAGTCAAGACAATTAACATTAGATTATAAAAATGGCTACGCTCACCCATACAAACTGATGTAAGATGATGGTATCTAGTAATCTAGCGAGCTTTTACGATACATTTCACAGTGTCACACATTCTCTTCCTAGACATTAGTAACGTTTAAGGCTACTAAAATATGCAAAATGATCCTATAAATATTTATCCATAGAAATATTATCCATAGAAATATATTATCCATAGAAATTATCCATAGAAATATTTTCGGGAGCAAGCGCCTGACCAGTGGGATATCTACGTGGAATTTGCCGTGTTTTTTTCACGTGTCTGAATTAACGGCCAGTTTCCAGTAGAAAGGGCTTCCAGGAGCATCAAAAAATGATTCTATAATGTCATTATAAGGCCTCTACCTCTCTTTTACTTCTATTGTCTTACAGGAGAGTGTAAAAAGATGGTATTCAGTAACCTTGAATAGTTTCACTTGTAAGGTAATTATCGCTTATGTTTCTATTAATATTTTCTCATATTGAAGCTTTAATATTACGAAACACTCCTCTATGTTCTGTGTTCTATTTTGAGTTCAATTACATTAACCTGAACAAAGGAACATTCAATGCATCTTCCACTTTTCACCTCCGGATGAATTTCAATGTTTTCGAAGTAATCTTACAATCGACCTTGAATGTCACATAAATATGCTTTAAATGATTCATTAACATTGAATGATCGCCTCCGTAGTAAGTTTTGTGACGTCAATGACGACATTTTAATAATTTCGTACCGAGAAAGAACACCTAAGATTTTTCAACTTTGACCTATATTTTTTCTATTCAATGAAACGTGCTTTTGGAATGTAAACAGACGATTTCAAAATTAAATGAAAAGTGCTTAGGTGATGGACAGATTATTTTTTCATAAAAAATTTCAGTAATTTTTGGAAATTTAAGTGAACTTTCTTTATATTTCCACCATTAGATAAATGTTCTCAATTTAGAGCTTGGGAGAGATGATATGGTACTGTATCCTCTATCACAAACGTGAAAGCCATTGGTGGTCCCTAGATAGAAGATTTGGTGGCCCTTCTACGTCGGGGTTTGTAAATTATACAGTTGCAACATTAATATTACTTTATATTTTCAAATTTCAAGTCTGTAGACTTGCCTAGGGGGTAATCCGGCACTGGTGAAGGCTACCCGTACGAAAGCTATAAAAATATATGAATAAAATCAATAGAACAAAGTAAAAATAATTATTTTATCAATTGTTTTTGCATCATACTTTTATTCAAAAGAATAAATTCGAGTCTTTCGTATCTAGATTGGTTCATTTCGTTACCTCAACGCAACACGTGTGAGATCTGCCGAGCGGGGAATGCCTTCAGGGAGGATTTTTATGAGAAAATGGCCTCTATTTAGGTGTTACAAACGTGAAGAATATCCGGAAAACTCCACGTGGCCAGCCAGCCCGTTGTCCAGGCGCAAACCCACACGACCAACTACCAATGGTTTTATCTATTCGGGCACTGATGGGCCTTTCGTATCTAGAACCCGAGCCATATGGTCCTTCTATCTGCACCCGAAACGTAATTTCCTTATGTAAAACAATCCCATTTAATAATAATAATAATAATTCATAATTAGGTTGATGAGATAAAACGCAAAGTATCTGCAAAGGGTACCATCCAAGAGGACTTTCACGTGTCTAAGTAGGAATCAGATTTTCATATTTACATACGTGAATCTAGTCACTATTTAAGCGTTAATTAATTTATTTTTCTGACAAAATATTTCAAAATTAATTAAATTTTAAACTTCATTATAACACTATCAACGTTTACCTCAAATTGACGTCATTCTTAGGTTGTTTTCATTACAGAAATGCAGGAGTGACGTCAAATTGACGTCGAAACATGTACTTTTTTTTTTAAATTTTAAAATAAATTAAATGATTCTTACATGAATTATAGCCTTTAACTATGATTTACATAAGAAGATATTTTAAAAATATTTGTTTTTAAATTAATTTTTCTATTTACAAAGTTTAATTATTTAAATTTTTGAATTTGAATACTTTCATAATCTATAGTAAATGTCCTTGGATCCTCTGCTCGCACGATTTCATGCACCTAGAATGACTTTTAAGCTTCATCTTGAGAAATAAAAAATAATAAATTAACATATTTTATTAAAGTTGGAATAATTTTGTTTTATTATAAATGAATAAAATAAAAATAAATATATTAAATTTAATAAAAGTATTATTTTGAACTGGGAGTAGTGTTAAATACTACATTCCATATCGTAGCTTTTCATATGTTCCGTGAAAGATTACATTTTGACCCCCTTTTTGGGGAAAAAAGAGATCCATAAATGGTCAGTTAATTTTTAAATATGACCAAAAAGTCACCAAAAATGGCGAAAAAATTTTAAATTTAATAATGAAATTATGATGTTTTTATAGATATTTCGTTTCAGGATTTTATGTTTTCTGCACGAGACACGTGGGCGTTCTGCCAAGGGGTGCCACCCGAGAGGTCTTTCTACCAGTGGCCAAGTGATTCCTTTCCCTATACACTCGGAGTTCGGTCGTGGATTCGCGCCTCGCCAGGAGGATTAGGATTCCAAATGTGGAGTATTCCGGGTTTTCTCCACATCTGTAACGCCTAAATAGGGGCCAGTTACCCTTAAATAGACTTCCTGAAAGACATTTTCCTAAGACGCCCTTGCCTTAGTTATGGCACTGATTACAAATGAAAAATGAATTTATAATAACAAAATATATGAGTAACTAGTGCCGTTTAATGTGTATGCATTGTACTATAAATAATCTAGACTTTGGCATCGCTGTGTAAATAGACAGTAGCCTAATCCAAGGGCGGCAACCGTTTTAATTGGCGTGCCAAAATCGTCAAATCTATGATGCAAAATTTTCTCACGAGCCAACCGAAATTTTTTCAGGCATGTTGTTATTTGGCATCTTCTAAGTATCGAGATAAAATTTTCTAATAAAAATCCACATATGTAAAGTAAGAATTGGTAATTTGGTGACAATGGTAATGTGGTAACAATGTTTCCACTAAAAATCACCAGATTACTATTAGAGGTAGCAAGTTGGAATTTGTACAACTGATCTCCTGCCATCTATGGTATAAA